CAGTCTTGACTGCTATAGTTACAGAAGATGCTCTTGCATCATGCATATTTCTGTGTCAAGCATAAACTCCCTTCCGGCCCTGTAAATGGTCTGGTTCTCTGTGTAAGTGAGTCAGGCTGGAGTCAAGTAAACTGATAAATAATAAATATTTTTAACAAACTGTTTTCTCTTGTTCATAGAAAAGCCTGTTCTTAAAAATATTAGTTTTTTTTTTTTTTTTTTTACCAGCTAAAAACTACACTAGTCAGTCTGAGGAAGTGGATATTGGCTGTGTCAGTCTTGGTTCTGTTATGTATTCTTTTGAGTTTTCAGTTTTACTTTGCTCCATGATTTCTAGTTTTATTGATTTATTTCTTATTTTGTTGTGTTTTCTGGTTATATTTTAGGTTTTCAGGTTTTTATTTGTTGTCCTCTGTTGCACTCTAGTGTTCTGCTTTTTCCCTAGCTCCTTTCCAGTCTGCTTTGTTCACACCTGCGCCCTATCTGCTCGTTAGTCCTCTCTTTGTTCAGTCTCCCATAAATACACTCCTTGTGCAGTTCCTCAGTGCTGGTTCTTCGTCAAACTTCCTTCAACTCTGTCTCACTGTGTCTTCCTCGTCAAGATTGTTTTTCCCATAATTCCCCATGGTTTATCGTTTGTTTAACTTTTTTCATGCTTGATTTCTGGATTTTTGGATTCCTGCCTTAACAGTTGTCTGTTAACATTTCATTAAATCAACAAGAAACTCAGCTCTGCCTTCCTGCCTCTGCATTTGGGTCCTCAAACCACAACCAAATCCTGACAGGTTGGACGGGTAACCAATGATCTGATTGTTGCTATAATTTAAATGTGTGTTCTGTTGTGGACAGGGTAACCTCTCTGGGGTGCATTGCTTTACTAATCAGCTTTTAGAGAAAGGCCAGAACCATTCATCACTTAAAAGCACAGCTTGTCAGGAATTAACTAAGAGACACCAAAGTTATAATCTTAAACCTCTTAACTAACAGTACTTACATTGATTGTAACTCAAATCCTATTAAGTTTAGTTTTTTTTAGAGGCTCAATTCTCATTTTCCTTTTTTCTAGATTTAGAAAATATCTCTTGACTCTAGAAGCCAAGTCAAAGTGGATGCTGTTCTTTGACATACAGATTCAAAGATGGCAGGAATAAATTCAGTATTTATTCTTTGATGAAACTGTTAACATTAAGTTGTGTGAGAGTCCATATTTCAATTGAACAACAACATACTGTACCAATAGAGGGACTCCTGTCCCTCCAGAAATTCAGTCTTTTGGATTGAATTCTCACATATAGATACCTTATTAGTCTACAGTTGTGGTGGTTCTGGCAACAACATAAAGGTGGAGTTCGTTTATCATCCATCAGTACTTGGGGTTGTAAATGTAGAAGTCCCAGGAGGAAATTAACTTTCTAACTTTGAGGTAGTAGTTCACTTTTGTGAGCTACATTCTCAAAAGAAGCCATTGTGAAGGCTGAGTTATAGTCACACTTAAGGCTCTCTGCAGATGGTGCCGGAGCCTGAACAAGCGCCGCAGGAAATTTATACTTCATTCTGGTGGTGGTACAGTATCCTCCAAAAAAACACAAGGGGCAGTACATCACATAACTAGCAGAAAGAAAATAAATGCTTTGCTCACACCAAAAATGGCAGTGTGCTCCATCAAAAATATTTTTTCATATCAACTTAAGTTAATTTCTTGCAGAGTTTAGGACTCCTACACTGAAAAAAATAATGCAACCGCTTTTGGCATATTTAGTTACTCTAACACAATAGTTTTATGTCCTACCCTGCTAACATGAACAATTGTGTAAACATTTTTTTTATATGATTAAGTAAATGCCAAAAATGGTTGCATTATTTTTTTCAGTGTATAGTAGAACCAGGAAGAGGAAACCATTGTTTGACGTTATTGTAAAAAATATAAAACTGTTACATTTTGGACTCTAATTAATGTCTAAAAACTAACTTTATAACTCACATTTATGTTTCTCTTAACCTTCCCCGTTTCCATTTTTTTTATTTATTTTTGTTATTCTCTTCTTTTCTTGAAGTAATGATCTATTTGGCAATGAAAGTTTGCATCTTTTTCTTTCTGAATGGCGCAGTGCATGGGAAGTCCATGCTGAGTTACAAACATTTGCAGGTGTACGGCTATGCTCCATCAAAGCCTTCAGGACCCTCCATGGGGGGGGCAACTACTTTACTTAATCATATATTAAAAGCCAAACAGGGAAGGTTCAAAATCATATAATTTTTTTCTTTAACTTATAACTTAGTCCTTGCCTATTTTTACAGCATGTTTCAAGTTTATTGCTCACAGTTGAGAACAGTCTTTTATCAATGTCATTGTTGTTTTTTTCTTTCTTTTTTTTTACTATTGCACCATTAATCCTGCAGTTTTCTGTCACGACCCAGAGACATAAATCATTTCCTTGAAAAAGCTTCAAATGTTGTGCAGACTGAGACGTTCTGAATTTCTGCTTCTGATTTTACAATACATTGCTGAAGTATCTTTGATATGAAAATTGAGACTACGTTTAGCTTGGAAACCCCTTTATCACTATAATTAATAACAGATGCCTCCATTTGGAAACAATTATCTTCCAACACGATCGAATGCTGCAGACCATTGCAATTAAAAGTTGGCTATAAAGTCTTTGCAAACACAAAACACACCTTTAATTTTAAGATCTTGCCTCTCTTTCTAACCTCTATCTTAGGTTAATTTAATGAAAAGAAAAGCAGTGGTACTTGAAACGCAGGAGGTATATGTGAAGTGGGGCCAGAAGCAGAGCACTTTAGGGGACACATTTTCACTTGATCTTTTGTGACTTGGTCCATATCCGTAACACACACCTAAAAAGCAGGTCAAATGTACTAAAATAAGACCCCACAGATGTACCCTGTGGCTACTTTTTTTCTTTCCATCTACCCCTCACTGCTTTTCATGCTAAAACATTTACAGTAGTTAATGTTATGTCTGGTCCCTTATTACTTGGTTCTTTCAGCTCTATGAATCTGAGAGGGGTGGTGAATGATGTTGCGTGTGTTGGGCTAATATGACTATAAAAGGGTCTGGACGGCAGAGTCTTTGCACTAATCCGACAGCACAGGCTCTTTTATTAGCGCTGTCAGTGTCTGCTCTTACTTCTGTTTGTGTTTTCATATAAGAATGCTCCTCTGTGTATTGTAGAAAATAGCACAGGTCAATTAGGTCTATGACCCTTGTGAGTCAAAAAAGGATAAAAAAAAATACTTTCTTGTCAGAACAAAATGTTAATCATTTACACCTTTGAAAAAGACCACTTCATAAATACAGTTAGCCCAAACAGATGAGCTCACTTAGATTTGGTCATGTGTAGACACCCAGTTTAAACAAGCAACAGCTGTAAAGAAGTGCCAATTGTATTCTCTCAAGCCTTTAAACCTGAAAGTAATCAGCTTCTGTTTCTTCAAAGGCTGTGAAGGTGGTATATGTCTAACCATGCAGTCTTCTCCTTTTTTCCTTCCAGAATAATGACAAAATTTTGTTTTTATGTATGATTAATTACTTTATCTTTAGAGAAAATTTACAGTTTACAGTGTCTGTTGCCTAACGCAATGCCTAAGTAAGCCATTCTAAAACACAAATGACAAAATGATGGCGCTTCAGCTGCATTTATACACATCCTACATCATCAGATTTCAGCATGTAACATCCCCACCCTCAACCACTGAATTTTATGATGCAAACAGCTGTTTTTCTGAATAACCTAACCATCTGTATCATTTCTTTTATTTAGTATTGATTATGGATAAATTGCCTCAGGTGCGAAAAGATATTTGAGATAATTTTACATTAACATGGTTGATCGTCAGAGGTGTCAAGTAACAAAGTACAAATACTTTTTTTACTGTACTTAAGTACACTTTTTAAGTACACTTTTTAGGTATCCATACTTTACTACATTACTTATTTTTCTTCCTACTTCTGACTTCTGCTAATTACATTTTCACACAAGTATCTGTACTTTCTGTTTTTTTTACATTTTATTTCACATCATGAGCGCCATTCCAATGCAGGTCATTGATGCCATCCACATCTAGTGAAAACTAGTGTAATACTTCACTTTTACTTGAGTAAAGAGGTCAAGTTGATACTTCAACTTTTATCAGAGTGTTTTTATACTGCAGTATCTATACTACTACTTGAGTAACAAATGTGTGTACTTTTGACACCACTGTTGATAGTTAAACCCAGGTTACTGTGGAAAGTGGATAGCATACCTAGAAAGCGTATAAAAAAAGTACAAAATAAATGTATAAACCTATTTTATAACTGTTTAGTATATAGATCTCATGCCCCCCTTCAAACCAGTCTTTGCCTTTATTTACTCAATCGGTGAGCAATTAAATGTTATTTTTAAAACAAACAGTCTGGCTGACAATCATTACAAGATATTTATCTGCTTTCATCCAGCCAGATGGTTTAAAGCAATTCCCCTTCCATTACATCTATACTTCTAAAACTGGTTATGTTAGCCAACATTTTTAATTGTAGTTTCATTATCTGCTCATGGGAAAAAAAAACAAAAAAACAAAATATTTTAACTAGATAGTTGATACCGTAATTACCGGTGAGCCACCACTAATTTAATGAAACAGTTTCATTAAATTAAATTAAATTTCATTTTCATGTGCTACAACAACAGACATTTATATTTTGAGGCTTTTTAAACATCTTTGAAAGAGGTGGTAATAAATGAAGCCAGTGTTTTACAACTACCACAATTCGTGGCCAGTAAACGCAAAGTAAAAAGAATAAAGGATTCCTACTTCTATTGTACATGTACAAGGTAATGTAAATAGACCCCTCCTGCTGTAATAAAGAGCCAGTCTTTGAATGATCTTGCTTCCTAATTCGACTCGACCTCCACTGTGCTGCCCAGTAATCTTGGCTGTAATGTTGCTGATGACAGAGATAATTAAAGCAGTTTGTGGTTTCTGTGTTTTTACAGCTGACGGATGGTGGGAAAGCAGCTAAAGGTGGTGTTGCAGTTGGAGACATGGTTCTTTCCATTGACGGTATTTCTACAGAGGGCATGAACCACCTGGAGGCCCAAAACAAAATCAAGACCTGCGTTGGGAACCTTAGCCTCACTCTGCAGAAGTAAGCATAACATTGTGTCTCCAAAAAACACAAACAAAAACAAACAATTTACACTTTTCACAAAGAAAACAAAAAATAACTGTCTATAATTTGAATACTTCCTAGTTAAACCCTGAGCGTTCCCCATCCAGGCCGTTAATCATGGTTGTTGTCGCTGTGATTTATTAATATATTTCACATATACTTACACCAATAGTTCTGCCTAAACTTTTCATTCCCTGATGGAAAGAAGAATAACTCAAACAAAAAGAATAGCATCTCACACGTGGATGTCCAACTTTTCCCTCAGGCCTAATTTTAAACAGGAATCCCCCACAGTGATGATGATTTATCTCAAGCATTTCTGCTAAACAGTGTGTTTGTGAGGCTTGATTTAGGATCTCGTGGTTTGGATTGGCTGGTTCTTTGGCAGCAACCGTACAAGTGTATGTTTCTACTTAAATAGTGTGAGATGTTCAAGGCTGCAATACTTTCCCTTCATGAAATAATGAAAAGCATTCAATCAACTAGACCATTAAAAATAAAACAATATACATTATTGTATATACAATAGGTAAAATCTTTTGCACTACTCTATGTTTTTGTGTGTCACTTCTTGGCTCCTTTACTCTCTCCCCTTTAAGTGGACTACTACACTCACTCCTCTTCTCATTCCGGTCAGAGCATATCTTCTAATCTGCGTCCAAACAATGACAAAATAGAGATATTTACTTCTGGCCTAATGGCAGAAAAATGTCTGCCTGCAGTAAATACTGGATTACTTCTTGTAAACTAGTGTCTGTGTGTGGCTTTCTTTGAGAGTCAGACAGCAGCCTGAAGTAGGTTCCTGGGAGCTGTAGGTGGTTCAGGGACAGGTGGAGAGCAGCGGCCCCTAAAATAATTAATCTACCACACAGCGCAGATTACAGCATGAGATTATTGTACATTGAAAAAAAAGATATATTACCTGTGAATTTTTTCGCAATAAATGTAAGCATAACTAGTTAAAAGTGTAATATGTTTGAGAATTATTTACAAAACTTTAAGTTTAAAGTTTATTATAAGTGTGATTTAAAACCATAACCTCATCAACAGACACGTTTCAAAAAGGCCAACAAAATCTGTAATGGCAGTAGGTATGATAAAATATGGGGATGAGAGGACAGGGTTAAACAGGGGTGTGGTCAGGTTGAGGGAAAGTCGGAGTGCATTTGATATGACTAAAACATCTTAGTACCTACGAGCAGATTAAACAGTTTGCTGAATAATAAACAGATCCACATGCTAGACTGGATGAGTGTTGAAAAATATATTTTACATGACGAGTATGCATTTTTGCTGTGATTTTAAAACTTAAAGGAATAGTGGAAGATGTTGTTTTTCTGGGTGGATCATCAAAATAAGTGGTACTCTTAATTGTCAATCTTTTTTTATTATTATTTTTTGTTTTTGTTTACAGCACTACAGGCTCATTTTTTTTTAAAGTAGTTAAACCAGCAACTTTGCAAACAGCAATTTTTAAACAGAGTGTGCTCGAGGAGAAATGTGCTTGTGCACGCACTTGCACACGTTTTAATAGGTGTTCCCACTCAGGAACAGGTACAGGGTTGTACATGTGCATTTTTTTTTACAAAAATCCTGCACTATACCTTTAAACAGCTGGTGTTGCATTGTACTCCAAAAACAATTAAATTGCCAAACTCCTAAATTATACACACAGTAGTTATGCAGTATTTGAATATTTTAAATACATCTTATAGGGTCATGATATGAAAATGAAGCTTTTGCTTATCAATTGTATATTTGCTAAATCTACAGTTTGTGCATTAAAGACATCATCATAAACATTAAATTGCCTTTATTTTAGGGCTGCAACTACGATTATTTAGCAAACCGATTAATCTGTTGACTAATAATTGATAGCGATACGTTCCAGAAGATGTTTTACGAAATTAAACCAGGTGAAACTCAAACTTTTCCCATTGAGGGTTTCTGGATAGAGCATACTGACAGAATTTTTTTTTTTTTTAAATCTTGAATGCAAGATGTTGATATATATTTTTTACAATTTTGTTATAATTACAGCTCTAAATGGGTTGCTCTGTAAGCTAAAGGCATGTTTTAGAGTCTCTATACTCCAGTTAACGATTAATCGATCATGATTCATCCAAATAATCGTTTCAGCCTGACTTTATTTAGTACTTAACTCTATAAAGTTGTAGTGTCTGATATATATTTGCATCTCTTACAATGACTTATTTTATAAGTTAAACAAGTTTCCGAGTTTCATTTCAGTTTGATGTTTGGTGCTTGCTGATTCCGTGATGGACATTTTGTGTATTCAGACAGTGTCACACCAGAGTCACCATCTGGGCTTTATTGAGTTTAAACAGTGGAACAAACAGCTTCCTCTCGTTGTCTCTTTTAGTTTTTATGGGAGTCACTCTGTTCTCTTTTCCTTTTCCCCTTTCACCAGTACATTTTGATTGGGTTTTCTATTTGCTATCATAAAATTGGAATGTTAACTGTGAACAGACAGGGAGAAAAGTTAAGAATATCTTATCCGTCTGTATGTCTGCATTTTGTAAATAGACAGCTTATTGTTTTTTTTTCATAACGAGAATTGATAAAAAAAAAAGTGACGTGCAGCAGTTTTATAATGAACATGATGTAAAAATTTCAAATTAATTTACCCTTACAGGACATATTTAAATGGAGAATGATGATTTGTATGGGCTAATTAGGCACATTAAATAAATAAAAGTTTTGGCAAATTATCTAGAACTCGATTCACCCCTCCATCATTTAAAGAAAACCATAAAGGGATAAAATGTATGTTTTTTATATATCTCTGTGTCCATGATATACAGTATAATAATCCATCACAGAGGCTTTAATTCTACAAAATATTATTTGATATTCTATTATAAGGTTGCTCATGTGATGCAGGTTCTAGATAGTTTTTATAGACACAAATTAAATACACCAAAGTCTCTTTTAGGATTATCAATTAGTACCTTTTTTTTTTACCTTTTAAGACTGATTGTCTGGGGTCTAGCAATTATTCATACTCAGTAAACTCCGCACTTTGGAGTTATGTGCTACATCCACAGTCCTTAAAAAACAATGAGGCTGCAATTGAAAAATAAACCGGTTTCTCTTAATACTTCATGGTGGTCTATCTGCAATAAATGAAACATGCTAAAGCAGATCAACACTTATAAGATGCAGTCGATGATTGATGGTAATAAAGGATTTGCCATTGAGGGTATATTTAAAAAAAAAAGTAACATAAAACAGAAAGAATCTGTAGATCAGACATTTTTTCTGGTATTAAAAAAGACATTATCAAACTTATGTGTAAAACTCAAGGCTTGCAGGCCAAATCCAGCCCCTCACAGCAATTTATAAAGTTGATGATGCAGAAGTGGCCTGGTATAAAAATTATTTTGGAACCCCTGGTATAGAGTTTAGAAAATGAAAGTGTTGAGAGAGATCAAAAATTATATTTGAAGCTTTACTTGACAAGCAAAGCTCTAAAGTCTTTGCTGTTTTTGAAAATCTGTCTGAAATGAATAGATTTACTATGCGAGCAGTTGTTTAAAGTGAGAAAAAAAAAACATTTGGATTAAAATATCACTTAAATTAAAAAAAATATAACCAAGCACAATCAATGAAGATTTAGATAAAACCAATAAAAAGAAAAAAACAATCATTTAGTTGTAAAGATATATAGAAGACCCAGAAAAATGTATTCTATGTTGGAATTCTATGAGGTTGTCTAACAAGTAGATAAAACTTGGAAAAATGGATCTTAAAAGAAGAGAGCAAGGAAAATATTGATCCAGATAAAGCAGGGAGGAAGTGTCACCTGAAAGGAATGATGTTGAAGTTTAGAAAATGTGTGAGTGTGGAAAACCTCCTACTTTGGAAAATATCAGGGATTTACAGAAACAGCAACAGTTTTCCTTTCCAATGATGGTGTCCTGAGTTGGTCTCCTTCAGGAAAACACAAAGTTTCAAACTTAAAATTGCCCTCATTATTACTAGTTATTCCAGTTAGATGTACACCGAAGCATTAAACTGTTCATTTCAATTATTCTATTACTGAACAAAGCCACCTTTGTATTCTGTTATAATGTGTTTCAGCCATTAGTGTCTGGCTTAAAGGTTTGCTTCCTGTGGTGAGGTCACTCTAAAACCCATGACTGTTTAAAAGGTCTCTGTGTATGTGGGTGCTTTCTATTTCATTTGCAATGGCACAGCCATGAGTTCCTGGGTGTCATAATGTCCAAACTAAGAAACAGCAAGCCAGAAGTGCTAGGACCGTAATGTGTAATTGGATCGCTAACTTAACAATTAACCTACTTTTGAGCACCCTTGTTTAATCGGTTTTGTAAACACTGATCAGTCACTCAAAACATTGATGGAAAAACTGAACATTTGGCATTGACTGAAAACCAAGGCAAGCCACACAAATATTTAAGTAATCATACAGATTGAAGCTTAAGCAGCTGTGTGAGTTAGTTTAAGCCACGAAAAGGTGCTAATGACATGAAAAGGGTTGGGTCCAGGTTCAAGGGAGGTTTACAAACAGCCTGTACACCACAAATAAAACTTGAAAATGCACAAGTTCAGAAAAATAAAAAAAACGTCCCTCTGCATATATTTCGGGAGTTGCTCTTAAAGTTTTTGTAAAAAGCACATCCTAGATTTTTAAGTATAACTACTATATACTGGCACAGCATCCAAAACATAAGTAGCACTTGTTCTACAGTGGGTTTGCTGTTGTCTTCTTCAGTATCTTTTGAGAAGTTATCAAAATTTTTTCCACCACACTTCCTAAATGAAGAATACCTGCAGCTCAGAGCACTATGTGCATTGACCTTTGCTTAAAACATGCCAATAAATGTTCTATAATCTCTCATACTCTAAGATATTTGAACTTTTTAGCAGTAGGCTGACTACACATCTACAACAGTTGATTTTAATATTTTTACCTCCAAAAGCAGCCTGAGTAT